AATAGTTACACCGGCTGCTCTTTTCTTCGAAGTCAAAGTATTTTGTCGGACTGCTAGGCTTTGCTTCTTTGATCTGCGCATGCATCCTGGCTCTAACATGATTTCCAGCCGCTCTTCCATCCTCGGCCACAGCGCCCAATGAGCCATCACCATCTTTGTACTTTTTGACCCATGAAAGCAAATGGGCTGTTTGCAGTTGATCAAAGCCAGGAGTTGTTGCATTGAGCCATTTCACACATGGAGTCATAAGCTTTCGAGCCGCATCACAAAGAATATCTCCACCATCCAGATGATTGTTCCTGAGTGTCTTGAGGTATGAATCGACAGCAATCACCTTGAGATCAGAGCTCCATGTCTTATTGCGAACTCTTTTGGCCGAGCTACCAACAATAGTTGAAATGCCAGCTGCTCTTTTCTTAGAAGAAGAAGCCGACACATTTTCTGGACTACTAGACTTTGCTTCTTTGATCTGAGCATGACTCCTGGTGGTATCAATGAGAGGGTGATCGTCGGTAAAATAAGAATGGATTTTGTGGGGATCATCAGTCTCGGGTCGCGTAAAATAGAATAGATGCTTTGCCACGGATGTATACATGGCTCCTCCAAACGCAAATGGCTGGAGCTCTTTGGGCCGACCCGGTTTCACTGCAGCTGGTGCAGCACTGCCATCCAGTAACAGCTTTCCCCGTGCCATGTCGTCAATGATCTGCTGCTGCTTGCCTTCCAGACGTGGTCTCTTTTGTGCTTTCTGCTGGTCGGCCGTCAGGCTGTTATTGTGGAGCTCTTGCTGCTTCTGTAAAGCTTTGGGTAACGACATGGTGGTAGTGCTATCAGAAGGAAGGGATTAGACTAGTACAATGGCTGTGAGGATAGATACAAGGAGAAGCCTTCTCCTTGGCAGCTGCACCATGCATGCTGGGTGCCGTGATGTGGGTTGGCGAGGTTTTCGGGGAGTCTGTTGGAGTGAAGGGCACAGGGCACTTTACTGGGAGGAGAGGAAAGCCCGCCAAAGTTCTGTACATAGCTCCGCTGTTTTATTTTAAAAAACGGACAATGGCGACAACAAGATCTTGGAAGGGTTATTGGTGTTGCATCCTGTCCTCCTCCAACAACAACCACAAAAGCATCCATCCTTTAGATAGAAGCTTTGTCGTGTTTTCCTTGCCGTCTTCTGGTCTGGCACTGTCCTTGTTTCGTGTCTGTCTTCACGACTGATTCTGTTCCATTCGTTCCATGTTGGGGACGGTCACACAACCATCGGCGGTAGCCATGCCCTGTGTGAGTTTCCTGTTAGAGGGTTTGGTTACTACTCTCTTGTCGTTGGGCTATCTGCACCACCAAGTTCCTGAAACAACACTAGTACCGGCCAATAAGCAACTGCCTCTCCGAATACCATCGCCTTGTCGAAGCAGTGCTCTGTCTTTTTCCTCGTCGGACGAATCCTCGGAATCGAGTAGTACTAGTACCGGTACTGGTATCATGGACAGCAACCACAAGAGTCTGCCGGACGGCACCTGCGAATACCACCGTCCTCCAGCAGACGACAGTAACAGCGACAGCCAATCCTACTACGACAAGCACGACACGGTATTTGGTAGAATTTTGCGAGGCGAATTGCCGGCCATTACGTTAGCGGAATCGACCCGACTGTTGGCCATTCAAGACCTAAAGCCCCGAGCACCACTGCATGCACTGATCATTCCCAAGGGATTTGTCGGTTCCGTCTTTGATGTAACGGGCGACGATCAAGAGTGGATGGAGGAAATGAAAAGCATGGCGCTAGATCTGGTCCAAGCCCAACATCCCCAAGCATTTGCCAAGGGAGATTATCGCTTGTGTTTTCACATTCCACCCTTTAATTCCGTCAATCATTTGCATCTACACGTCTTGGCGCCAGCATCCACCATGGGAATCTACTACAAGTACGTCAAGTACTTACCAGGCACACGATGGTGTATTGAAATGGACGAAGTCATGACACGACTGCAACAACACATGTCACCCGTCCCCTACCAACGACCACCCATGTGTCCACCGCAAACACAAGACATGACAGCAGCAGCAGCAACAACCATACCAAACCAGGCCAAATCTTCGTCATGCCAGTCGGAAGAAAAAGAAAAAGACAGCTGCTAGCACGAGCTTTCCTTTGTTGGCTTTTGGTTCTAGCTACGAGCACTCATCACAGACACCAACGGGTGTCTGGAGTCCTCGCCCTTTTGATGCTCCTTCTCCTTCCCTGTCCGGGCTGCGCATGAATGAACGATGGCTTGGCTTGACTTGGACGGAATGGAATGATGCACAAAAACAACACGCCAACGACAAGCAAAACGCATGAATATATAAACAACGTGAAGAAGGAACTAGACGCCTTTCGTTCCCTCTCGAGCTCACCCTTGCTCCATCACAAACATGGCTGGCCCTCATGGTCTCTTTCGCCCACATATTGGTTGGGTGAGATATAGTAGTGCCAAAGGCGGGAAGGACCCACATGGGGCTGCCTTTGCTTCTGTTAGGGGGGATGTCGCCATGAACCGAGAAAGTCTTCAAGAGACCTGTGTCGGTGCTGCCTGACTACCGTACCGGTATGCAATGAACGGCAGGGCTGTATTTGAACTGCTTTCCCAGCCTTCATCTTGCCGTACCCAGCAAATCGATACCAAACCAAACCAAACTTAGGGGCATCTGGAGTGGTGCGGCATCAGTGCGGGTACTGTACCGTACAGTACTTACTTGACCAACACGGGAGAGTACCTGTGGCGTCGTTCTTGACTCTAGCGAGGAGAGTATTGTTCCTGTTCCAGGCAACTTTGAGTTCGTGACAGTGCCGGTACTGTACCTATCATACTTGACCAACACAGGAGAGTACCGGTGGCGGTCGGCGTCGTTCTTGACTCTAGCGAGGAGAGTAGTGTTCCTGTTCCAGGAACTCGAAGACATGGGCTCAAAACTGGAACATTCACTAGCTACCTACGGTAGCTAACTAGACGAGGTGAAAAATGGGACACGTTGCTTTTGGCGTACGGTACTCCCCATGGCTCCGGTAGGCACCTCTTTCTAGAAATTGTGGGTGTACTGTACCGATAGCGTGAGAAGAGGAATAAAAGAGACCGGTCGCATAAGGAGCGAATATCAAACAAGCTTAGCAACGGAACAGCGGGGGGCAACTGCTGTTTGGCCTACATCGTGCGGGTCGCGTTGCGTAGTTATCTTCCTCGTCGTGTAATCACGCGGTAGAGGCAGTCGACCTGGGGTGAGCATTTCACAGACGCCAAAAGGCTTGCAATTTGCATGAGGTCAGGGTGTGGTGTGGAGCAGGTCCGTACAGCAAGGTATAAGGTGACTTCGAGTGGGCCTATATTATGTGACGAGTCGGAACACCAGGTTTTCGTTGCTTCACCCATTGTACCAGTAGCTTTTCCTTGAAGACGTACGTGGGGCACGGTAACACGGGGGCGGTTACATGGGGATGAGCACCCGGCAAAAAGCAACGAGCACCGGTATAGCTTGTATCACTGTAACCGTTTCTGTTTGGGAACACGACTAGCTAGTGTTGGTACGTACCGGTATGGTAGTACCTTAGAGGGGCCGCCAGTCAAAGGAGCCCTGCGCTTGGCATCTCTTGGAACTGCATGCATGTACGATGCAGCTGGAAGCTCACACTGGCATCGTCACGAGCGTACACCACAAACCCTCAAAAAAAGCCCCAGGTCCCGTAGCATAGGACGACGACGTCTATGGTGGACGGATCGTCAGTCGGAGCACGCTGTTCGATGCTGCTTATGCGCCTAGCTACTGCAGGTAACAACCTTCACTACAAGTTGAACCATGCACGACGCGCCGTTCGCGCTGTTTCGGGTACTGTACTGTTCGACCGAGCATCGTAACATGCTGTTCGAAGACCAAGCAAACATCAGCTCACTTACAACTTGAAGCATGTCGTATATCACAGTTACCATCGCTGAAGCTCTTACAGCTAGCTAACGGGGTACCGGTACTCTGTGACTTATAAGGATTGCAGATGGCTGACCAGTTGTTCCAAAGCACCATCTTCTAATACTAGTAGCGCCACACCCTTCGTCGTCGTTGCAGGTGTCGAGTGACAGTCGTTTTTTCCTGCTCACATTCAATCAACTGTGTTTCAAGGTTGCTTCCCTATCATCGTCACCGTTCAAATCTAAACGAGATCCCTCCAAGAAATCTAGTCTCAAGGAGAGAGGGACGTTCTCACAATTCGAAGACCAGCCATCTCAAAAGCAGCAGCACTTCTCGAAATTGCCAGCACTCCACCATGGCGACCAGCAACAAAAACACCTTGAAAACCATCCTTCTAGATGCCGTCCAGGACATTGTGAACAAGGAGGTCAACATGGAACCTGTGGTCAGCACGGATTATTTTGCGGAACTCTCAACCTCGCCCCTCCTTATCGTCAATTACCGTCCAGGTTGGCTGCCATGCCCTTGCAGGGTCTCGTGTGCACTCTGATGACGCATTTGGCAAATTTCCCCGAAGAAGTCGTCTTCCTGCTTCTTTTGCTTCTTGCATCCTATCAAGTTCGTGGCAACCCCACCGCTGAAGAGGTCGATTGTTTTGACCAGTTCCTGTCGGGCGGTAAACTCGAGGCAGTAGCTCCCATTGTGGCTCGCATTGAGACTGGTAAGGGCCGAAAACATCTCTGCCACAGCATTGGCTCTGAAGAGCTCACATTTCTGTTTCTCTGGAAGATGGCAAGACTTTGGCCGATGACCAGGTAGCCATCATCATCAAGGAAGTCGTGCGCGAGTACCCTGATGGTCCTAACGACCATCAAATTTTCAAAGCATTCAAGGGGATTGGAAGGCGACCATCTTTCTTGAGAGTGACCTGTCCCATGTGCTACCGCTCCTTAAATACCTCAAAGCTTTCATTCTTCCTGCACCGACAGATCAAATCCTTTGCGGATGTAGTGGAAAAGGTGAGTTTACTTGCCCGACTTTTGCACCTGCTCTCGGTGTACCGCCTCAATGCTTCTCTTTGCACCCACAGCTTGCAGCAGAATCACAGAATCACCACGACACGACAAAGGTGACTTCGGATCCTTGTGTTGCATTTACTGTCGACATGTGTGACTTCTGTTGTTCACCGTATTGTTCTTCCTCTACAGATTGATATCCAGAAGAACCGTATCTCCGAACTCGATTCCAAAGTAGACAAGCTCTTGAAGGTCTCTTCATGAGCTCTTCATGACATCTCTCTCATCTTTACACACACAGATGGAATATGATCGACGGGAGGCGACTGAACGACGTCTCTTGTCTCGATTCCACCAGACTTTTCACCTCACGCCACAGATCACGCGAACATCCCGAGTTCCGTCTTGCGTAGTCCCCAATATCCCCTGACTCAGTGATGTCATGCACCGCACCTACAATACATACATGCAATTGAAGCGTAGCTCATCTTGGCTGGTCTACCTAGTATTATTGGTTCGCACCATAATTGACAGGTTGCTTCACGTTCAATATGCCCATCTCTATTGCCCCCCCCCCCCCCCCCCCCCCGGTGGCTTGGCTTGCACTTTGCGTTCTCGTGTTTGTCTTGCCATGTAGAGAGTTGATCCGTTTCCCCCCTTGGTTGGCTGTCACGCTTGTACCTCCAAGAAGGTCCACTGAGAAACCATGCTCAGCTTCCGTGGTGTGCGCATAAAGGATTGGCTCCTGGGATACATGTGTGGATGAGCGGGAGCTAAAGATTACAACTGTAAAATCAAGCAAAAGGTGAGGGAAATCACTTTCCGCACGTAGGACCTCATAGACTTCAAATGGAACTCTGTGACTACCGGTACCGGTACTGGGTAGCCCTCGATCCGCCCTGAAAATCGCACCAGTCTCAACCATAGAGTCACTGAAGTACACCATCAAAATCCGTTGGATCATTCATAGACCTCATCGTGTAGAATATACAATGCTCTTCTTGCCAGCTAGCTACCATGATTGCATCATAATATGATCACCATGACCGTTGTCCTGAATGATGCAACTTGAAAGCTCTTGACGCATTGAGCATGCCGGTACCGGTAGGGGATCTCTGGAGGACATTGGCAAGTGTATGTAGCGGGCGGTCAAGGGCTGGGTCAACTCTAAATCGAATCCGATAACAAAGACGGTAGAATTTGATACGAAGACCATACTCTCTACATTGTGCAGATTAAACACATGCAATCTTCTTCTTTCTACCATAATATACTATACACCATTCAGTCGTCGCTATCGTCGCTGTCAGGGCCCTCGGCTGCTTTTCGTTTCCGCACAAATTGATCAAAATCATGATGACAGTGAAATAGGGGACGGCCCATTCGATGGCTCGGCTCTGGACCGTGTTTCTGGAGCTTGTGGCACACGTACTGGGCTGACCAATAGTTGGGATGGTTGTCCGGGACTTCTGTTTGTCCGATGTTTAGAAAGGCTGCCACAATGTCTGGCCCGAGGTGCTTGCGAGGATTGTAGGTTTCATCGCGTCCTTGGAGTATGGTTTCAAAGTTCTTCCACTGGTCCATGTCCCCAACCGTAAGGATGGAACCAGCCGGTTCGGCTTTGCCAAGAAGGTGCGATTTGTAGGTTGATCTCAGCAAGATCACTCTGGTCTGATCGTGCCTCCCAGCCATGCGTCCATGACGGAATTTGGCATTTTGAGAGTTTTTGTACGCTGTGAGCCTCGCCATGCAACGCATGCAGAGTGCGACTCCATTCTCATGTCCTCTCATATCACGCTTGTGTCTTGGTTTTCCACAAGCTTCGCAACCAATGTGTGAAATCACCAGACGCAGCAGTCGAGGAACGGAGGGAACATAGATTCTTTCCTTTTGGATTTGATAGATAATGTTGGCCAGAGTTACAACACTGCACGAGGGATGCTCCTCTGCAAACCGATCGATCAGCTTGTGGTCGAGGTTTCTCAACATGACAGATCGAATCACATGTTCATAGCTTAGGACTGATAGGATGGCTTTGCTCGAAAAGGCAAGGCGAAAGAGATCCTGCACTCCGAGATACCCCGTCACAACAGACACGATATCAGAATTGGTAAACGGGCTCACTGCTTGGTGGACACCGACGATTTTCTTCTGCTTTCCAACTGGCGCATTGTCATCGTCGTTCTTTCTCTTCTTTCCGCACTCGTCTGCTTTGGGAGGTGCCATGGTCTTCGTCTGCTTCTTTGGGTCTGGTCTATTTCTGCTGTGAAAGGATCTCTGCTGCTCTGCATCTGTTGGATCTTTGTTTTGGAGGCGGCTTGGTGTGAGGAATCTGGAAAATGGGGATTCTCAAGAATCAGTTTTGGTTTTTTGCTGATTCTTAAGAATCACCAGGCACCCAGTATGCTGTCCAGTATGCAGCCTATTGCAGCCTATAGAATAGCAATATGCACTCCATAGCTAGCAATGCTATCACCTGACACTATCTGCCAACCAACAACAATCTTTGCTGATTCGAACAGCCTTGTAATGATGTAGCAGTGATGTTACAACCATTGCAATGGAGTCTTTCTTGATTTTTACCAGTATTCCCAAGATTCAGCATATTTTGCATGGAGGATTCTTAAGAATCATCATAATTTGGAGAGGATTCTTAAGAATCAGTAAAAATTATTCAATGACTCTTGAGAATCAGCAAAAATGTTTTGCTGATTCTTAAGAATCAGCCCATGATTCTTAAGAATCTGTAAAATGATTCTTAAGAATCTTATTTTTCCAAGATTCCTTGTCTACCCTGTATATGATTCTTAAGAATCATAATTTTCCCAAGATTTTTTCCTGATTCTTAAGAATAATCTGATTCTTAAGACTCCTTGTAACAGGCTTTCCCAATGGGCGAGATCTAAGCCTGTGTGAGGTGACAAAAAGACTTATTAACGGGGGCTTTAGAGCGTTAGAGTACACATACGAAAGTGACCGAAGACCGAAGCCTCCTCCCCTTTTCAATTATTACAAGACAACTACATGTATCTAGCCAGTAGAACTCCATCGTGGCTTTGGATCCGCTGCTACTCAACTAATTGGCAAACCTTTGGAGCTTGCGATTCAACCAGTCGGCTTCCTGATTGCACTTATCCTTTTGCCCAACAAAAAATGCCTCCCCATCACAAACTGCACTCGGTCTTGCATTGACTCTCTGCTCCCCAAACACTAGCTCAAGGAATGCAGTGTTCTTGTTTGGTGAATGCACATTCACCACATGGCACTCTGTGGGGTCCAAACACTCATTGTAGGAAAGTGAAAAGACAGGACCAACACACTGATCCATCCAGTGTTCATTGTAGGTCTCATACACAGTATCATCATAATCCCTGTCAAACGTGTCCTCTGAATGGAGTGTGATACCGCTTTCTCCTCCCCCAATCAACTTTAACAGTGTCCACTCCATGGGTCCACATGTCAACATCATCATGCTAAACGGTTCTGTACCTGTGGGGCAAGATGCACAGCTCCCAATCTGCTCTCTTCGGAAAAGACCACTAAAGGTTCCCTGAGCAACATTCTCCCCATCCATGAAGAGTGCAAATTGTCCTGGTGCATGCAACCCACCGTTCTGTTCCTTGTAAATCGTAAACACAAAGCAAGAATCCATCGGGACACATGTCTCCTCCACCATTGTTGCATAGGCATACTCCAGTGGATAAGATTCCTGCTCAAACAGGATCTCCCCTGTGCTGTTGTTAACAAGGTTCCACACCACACCTGTAGGGAGCGAATCATGGGTAAGTGAAAGGCGTAGGAGTGACATGCCAGCGGGGCACTCCTTTCTTCCTGGCAGTGAGTAGATTGTTGTGACTCCACCAATGCCACCTTCAGGGGAACCAATTGCAACTTCCTTGCCATCAGGAGAGATTGCAACTGGGTAGTGTGTGAATGGGGAATCATCTCCCAAAGAACCCCAAAATTTGAATGTAGCTTCCCATCTGTAAAATCTGACCTTGTTACCCAACCTAAAGGCAATCCTGGATCCATCATCAGATATTGACAAGGCATTGTTCCTATCGGGGTGCTCAATGTCAATGCACCCAGTGGTGTTCAGCTGTGGAGCCCTCCGTGGCATCCAAACACCCTCATCATTGCGGAAATTTAGGTGAAGCTGAGCGCCTTGACAATTCGGGTAGCCATAGGCAAGAAAAGTGCCATCTTGGTTCAATGCCATTGACAAGGGGGGAAACATGGTGTTCACAACAGACTCAAAGAGGAACTCAATCTCAGTAGCATAGCCACCAGACAACTCATCCCAGGCCATGACATCAATATACACATCTGTAACCACAGCAAAGTTGGTCTCTGAGTCAAACCCTGACACCTGAGACTGCACAGCCAGTTTGCTGCCATCTCCACTCAACGACAAGGATATTACGTCAGCCAGGGTACCATTTCTTGTAACATTTAAATCTGCTCGGAACTCAAATAATCCCTCTTGGGCCTCATAGAATCTTATCACTTTGGGAGCCTGGTTAGCAGCAACAAACAAAGATGCTGCAAGGACAGTCCCATCATCTGACAGATCGAAGTCCAAGACCAATGGAATCGCCTGGGTTTGAGTGCAGTTACTATGAATGCACTTGTAGATATGAATAGTTCCGTAGCTATCCTGAACAGCAATTGTAAGAGGAGCCTTGAAGCTTGGATTGCTGACAACATGAAAGGGCCCAGAGGAAAGTGCCACAGTCCGCCCAAACCATGTACCAGCAGACCCAATGAGAGTCTCTCGAAGGACCCAGGATCGCTCAACCTTGTCATATATCCGCACTCTGTCCTGTAAATGTTCTGACACAACCATCGACCTCATTGAAAGATCCAAGGAATATCCCGAGAAGGAGCCAGCAGCTCCATTCAAGAGACTGCTTTGCCACCTCTTCTTTGGTTGCTCACAGTAATAGTACCCCGTGTTGACATAGCCACGTTCTGCTGCCCCACAAATGTATTCAGGTGTGCTCTGGCAGGTAGACTCACAGCAATCACCACCATCCATTTTGAACTCAGGTGTGTTGAAAAAGGGATCACAGTGACCATTGCGAACTGAAGAAAGGTGTGAGTACAGAGATTTAGAACAGTTGAAGCACACGATTCAGATAAGCAGACCCATGTACATACCCGGTGGAATTTCACACAGGCTTCCTCTACTGTCAAGGGAACACACGCATTCCCCAGCACTACACTTTCCATCATAGAGGCATGGGTTTGAGGATTCGTCACAGACATGACATACAAACTCAGTAGAAATCCCATTCCCAATTGCCTGATTCTGATTCTGATCTTTCACAGTTTTAGCAAAATACCAAGAGAATCCAACCGGTGAGCTAGAGCTCCAGTGTGTCCCCATTTCCATGTAGTCACTGAGGAAGGCAACAGAGAAATTGGCAGAGAATCCCTGATATCCATGGAAGCTATGTTTGAAGAAGTTTCCAATGTCAGAACCAACATCATCTTGGCCATCAGAGAGATCACTGGCTTGGATCCTTCCACCACTTGGCAAGAATTTTGATGCTGCTAAAGCCCAACGCCCCCCAGTGAACATGACTACATCATATTCGCCCCTCTCATACTCATGGATGTACACTGGCCGATGGTATGCTTCCACCAGTGTGCCGTTGCCCAAGTCAATGGACTGGTAGCCAGTTGCCCAATCCCTGATACTGGCAAACTTTTCAGTTCGAGCATGAATGGTGATCCAAGGACAAGGACTGACAAATTCACACCTGAGACCATACCATCCATCCTCACAGTCACAGACAGCGTTGCTGCAGATACCTTTCCCGCCACAGTCATTACTTCCTTCCACATCCTCATTCGAGCAGTCAAAGCAAACGAGGCTGAATGGTTCTAGCACCACTTCGTGGTTTGTTTCATCACGGACAAACCACTGGATTCTCCCAGTCTCTGTGATATCATAGGTGTCTGTGTTGGAAGATCTAGCAATCCAGTCACATGGATCTGAATCCTCCAGATTGTCCCTTGTTTGCACCCGAAATGTCCAAGCTTTGATGTCATTGCAGTACCCAAAAACACCTTTTCCAGGAGCATCAATCTCCACGGACCGTCTCTCCACATACTCTGCCCGCCACTCCAGCCCAGAACCTGCTGAAAAATCCAGATCATAGAGGCCATTAAATGTTCCAAGGGAGGGGACAAAATTATCTCCCATATTCACAATCATGGTGTTGCACATGTATTTGCCTGATGTCCGAAAAACCACAATGGCAACATATCCACCAACCATACCAATAAGGATCAATAGGAAAACCCCTGACTTCCAAGAGCGTTGTAGAATTCCTTGATCTTCTGAGCGCTTGCGCTTGCGGACTTGGAAGTGGACTACATCACTGGCAGCATTCTTAAGCATGTTTCCCATAAAGCCTGCCTTGGCAAGATCGAATGCCACATTGTCGATGTCTGCCATGAAATGTAGTGCTGCAAAGTTGAGCATAATTCCCAAGACACTGTCAACTTCCATGGTTAAGATGTAGATGGTCAATAGTAAGAGGAGGGCAGCAATGAGCTGAGCAATACAAGAAACAAGCCAAGTGGCGTAGGTTGCTCCAGGATGCTTTTCGAGCACCTCAGGGTGGAATCCATCCTTAAATCTGTGGAGGGAGAAAATTTGGTTCAAAATGTGAGAGACTGGTGGAGTGGTTGGACAACACGGGAGGGAACAAAGCAAAAGTAAAACTCACTTTCCCACGACTTCGAGGAGGTCTGATTGGAAAGCTATGGCCTGGAAAAGGGCGACACCTTGAGCAATGGTGACAATCAAGTCAACATTAGGTGGCAAATCAAGTCCGCTTCCACCCCAGTCAACAATGTCAATCAGTGTCAGCAGAATGGTTGTGATCTGTTGAAGCCACATTCCAAAAGTGGGTGAGTTGGAATAAATATTCATGAAGCTCTGGTCGTCCCAATTTTTACACTTACCTGGATGGCATAAACAAAAAAGGCATACCAGAATGCCGCACTATTAACACTGCACAAATAGAAAAGAGAATAGGTGCTTTCCGTATAGGGATTGTGCCATTGTTCCTCGTTTGCCTCATCCTCGCTCTTGCCTGCATTCTTATCTTCGTCCCCAACCGTCTCCTGGGGGGTCCGCAAAGGATGCAATGCACTTTCTTCCAAATCGCCACCCTTTGGGTTTTGCTTCCTCTCATCCTGACTTATCAAGAGTGGCTTGAGTAGGCTTGCCAATGTTGCCAGATCTTTGGGGGAAAGATTTTCCATGATGGTAGATACCCCACTGCCAATGGTCGAGGACAAAGGTTGGGTCGTAGCATCAGTGGTTGTTTTGAAGGAAGATTCACGGTCCGCAAAGATCACAGAATCGACATCCACTTCATCCGTCGCCTGCAGAGAAAGATGGCTTTGGCTCTGGCTGGTGACCTCATTTTCGAGTTGGTTTGGAATGGTCATTGTTGTTAGGGTCCACAGTCATTCGATCTGCTGATGATGGGCCCGACAGCTGTTGGTGGCGGCGTGGCGGCTAGCAGTTTCGGCAAATCGGTTCCGTACAGTCCTCTCTTGGGGTGTATCTCTCTGCACAGTTGACTGCAGATGTTCTGTGGTGGAGGGAATCTTGGAATGGCTCAATCCTTCCGGTTGGCTAAAGCTTTTCCGAGAGACAATTAATTCACGGGATTGGTTTTGATGCCAACGACTTGTGGAATCTCAGGAGCGTTCGGTTGACTGCTACCATGCAGTCTAACGATGTTGACTAATAACACTAGCTAGTCCGAAGAGTCGAGTCCACGAGATCGAGATACTAGTATTCCGCTTTGGTTTGGGAAAGGTTGTGATGCGTCATCCCCTCGATCGATAGTGTTGCATGCTGCATGACAAGGTGGCTGCTGTTGGTTCTGCCAAAAAAATCGAAAACTTCAGAAAGCTCGTGACTTGAGTAACTCAAGAAAGGTTTGCCCTCCCATCCGTGGATACCGGTACCGGTACTGGTGGTACCGCATAGCCGAACATGGTGTCAAGCCGATTTTTAGCGATCAGGTCTGCAGCAAGATGATCGACGGATCAAAGTGTCGCGACGGGTAGGGTCCATCACAGCCGTGCATTGACTGAACCACTAGCACTGTTTGCTACTACTAGAACAACCACCATGAAGATCTCAGCGTTCATTTCCCTCTTGTTGGCATGCATTTGTGCTTCTGCAAGTGCCTTTACTCTCCCCACTACTCAGAGCGGGGCAATCAGATCCAAGAGCTTTGCGTTGGGTCCTGTGGCCGGCAACGGCATCGAGTGGGATGAGATTGTTATGGGTCAAGGAAGACGGATCCTTCCTGGAGATACAGTTCTTTGCTACTACGTTGGATCTTTCACCAGCAATGATGGAGGCTTCTTCAGTAAAGACAAGCAAGTGGTTTTTGACCAAACAGGTATGTTAGTGTTTTAGTTAGTGACTGATATCTGTGTATGTGTACCGACATGGAACTGGGGTTCTCACTACTTATTTATCTTCATCCAATACATCCACATAGATGAAGATCAGCCATTTCAGTTTGTGGTTGGAAAAGGCAACGTCATCAAAGGTAAAGATTGTTTCACCAAGATGAATGCCGATTGGATGGGATAGTTATGCTATCCTTTTGCTGACCGTCGCTGTCATTTTTAATTTGTATTTCTTCCTGTATCTTACTTGGATAGGATGGGACGTTGGAATTCTAGGTGACCTCGATGGAGATATCATTCCAATGAAAGTAGGCGGCAAACGACGTCTCAACATTCCCTCTAAGTTGGCCTACGGGGCAAACGGAGTGGGACCGATCCCTGCCAACCAGGATCTATCATTTGATTTGGAAGTGGTATTGGAAGCCAAGCACACGGGCTACTGCATGATGATTGTGTAGGAAAATGAGGAGAGAATAGCCAACGGGATGACGGCCGCCAATGCGTAGCCACCGACTTTGGTTTCAATGCTAATATCAGTTTCTTTCTCTGCATAGATG